AGTCGTACTTGAGGGAAGTCGAAGCGGGAAATGAAGAACATCCTTCAAGACAGAAGAATCCATGGAAAGGAAAGGTAGAGGCCATCCCCATCAGTGCCATTAACGGACATGGCGTTGAGAAGATTACCGAATGGACCGTTGGTCTTCTTGATGGATGAAGTATTTACGGATAGAGGCATGTATAATATCAAGATGCATATTAATGATCAATTCATGCACAAAGTTCTATTGATTCCCATTATCTATTCTCATATCAATATCAACCTGATCATATACATCTGTTTCTGTCCGCATGCATCTTTGACGTTTGACATAGTGGGGTATATCTAACGGCTACTTTCACTTGATATCTGTCACAAGTGGCGTATGGTCTGATCCCAAGCGGGGTTTAAGTTCCAGTTATGCTTCCATCTGTATCTTTGTCACTCACATCGGGAAATTTTCACGGTTGGGATGAGACATTGGAGCGGTAGTGATGCTGTGGCCCGCTCTCGTGACACCATCTTCTTCGACTCCAACGAGCCTTTCGATTCCCAGTATAAGATGAATTGATTTGTACAAGCGTCGGCGGGAGAAAGGAACATTCATCCCAGATTCCTGTCTCAGATCTCAAAGTCTAAAGCTCCCGTCGGTGGCGTTCTTGCCCCTCGAGTTATATTCTAGAATTGATGATTCGAAGCCACCCATATACGAAACGATGGGTGGAACTTTGTTATTCAAACAAAATTCTCCGCAAGACTAGACGATCTGTAACCACTATGAGTACCAAATCAATTGAATGGAGTAAGGACTACTCTTGTGGTGAAACAGTGAATATGTGGTTGAAGTATCTCGAAGGTGAGTTGTGATGACATTCACCATTAATAGCTACCTTATTCAGAACGGATGAACACATAATGGGCTAAGAGGGCTGCCTGACAAAGGTGTGTCAAAAGTAAAGTTCCTTTTGTTTACGCCGATATCGTTATCGTCCTTGTTGGATAGATATAAAAGTCCATCCGGTCTCTTTTTCGGATAATATTTTTCTCCCACAAACAACACAGCTCTCGAACTACCTCATCAACTTGACCCTCTTTTTCACACAGTCAAACAAACCTTTATTCAATCATTTCCTTGCAGAAAAGCATCAAACCACTTCCAAACCACTACAATTACTTCTCTTCTCTTCTTGCTAGTTTAGTTTGTACTGTCATCTTCCAAGATGTCTGCAACTATCGCAATCCTTCCTGAATCTTCCTCCCCATTTGACCCTCAAGCTCTTACACAAAAGTACATTCTCGAGCGAGAGAAGCGTATTCGTGAGGATGGGCTCACTCAGTACAAGGAACCTACTGGCAACTTTGCTCGATTCCAAGATGATGCCCTTATTGACGGGATTGTCCCACGTGAACCAATGATCGATTCTGTTGAGGCACTCATTATTGGTGGTGGTTATGGTGGTTTGTTGGCTGCTGCTCGTCTTTCTCAAAAAGGCGTTACCAATTTCCGCATTCTTGAAAAGGGTGGTGGTTATGGTGGAACTTGGTATTGGAACCAATATCCAGGTTTGTTTTATCCCCATGAACTCACATTTCAATTACCCAACCTCCATAATCTGTTGATGTTCACTAACTGTCAATTTGCAGGTGCTCAATGTGACATTGAATCCTATATTTACCTTCCCTTGCTTGAAGAGCTTGGCTACGTCCCAACTGAGAAGTATGCTCGCACTACCGAAATCCATAAGCACATTGAGATGCTCGTTACACGTTATAATCTTAAGGAAAAGACTGTCTTTCAAACCGAAGCAAAATCAATGACTTGGGATGAGGACACTCTTTCTTGGAAGACTGAGACAAACCGTGGCGATCATTTCACCTCCAAATTCGCTATCACTGCTACCGGTATCCTTCACAAGATCAAGCTTCCAGGTCTTGAAGGCATGGAGCTTTTTGCGGGAAAATCTTTTCACACATCTAGATGGGATTATGGCGTTACTGGTGGTGATGTCAACGGTAATCTTAGCAAGTTGGCTGATAAGCGTGTTGGTGTCATTGGCACTGGTGCAACCGCAGTTCAAATGCTTCCTCATCTCACTAAGGCCTCCAAGCATGTCTACGTCTTTCAGAGAACACCATCCACAATCAATGTTCGAAACAACAAGCCTACTCCACCAAACTTCTCTCAAAATCTCAAGCCTGGATGGCAACAAGATCGAATGGAGAATTTCAATGATCGGATTTCCAATTGCCGTCAAAAGGAAGATCTTGTCAATGATGGCTGGACTCTCAATCCTGCTACGTCTATTTTGGGCAAGGCAGATGCTTGCACTGATCAAGCTAAATTGGGTCAGATGATGATGATGGCAGACTTTCAACTCATGGAACGTATTCGAGCTCGTGTCGATGAAATCGTCGAGGATAAGGAGACTGCCGAGAAGCTTAAGCCATGGTATTCATCAATGTGCAAGCGTCCCTGCTTTCACGACGAATATCTCTCTCTCTTCAACCGCGACAATGTCCAACTCGTCGATACAAATGGAAAGGGTGTTGATCGTGTCTCCCAAGCTGGCGTTATCGTAGACGGTGTCGAATATCCTGTTGATGTTCTTATCTACTCTACCGGTTTCGAAGTCACAACCGCTTATCAACGCCGCTCAGGCATCACTGTCACCGGCCGCGATGGTCTCATCCTCGACGACAAGTGGAAGAAGGGTCCCTCCACCTTCCATGGATTCCAAACCCATGGTTTTCCAAATTATTTCTTCTTCGGCACAACCCAATCTGGTGTTTCTGCAAATTTCATGTATACGCTTACACACCAATCTATGCATACCGCCTATATCATCTCCGAATGCAAGAAGAAGAACATCAAGGCCGTTGAAGCTAGTAAGGAAGCTGAGAGTCAATGGGTCAACGATATCTTGCTGGGAAGTGCACCTATGTTGCAATATTTCACTCAATGTACACCAGGTTATTTCAACGGTGAAGGAATGGTTGGCAAGCATCCGGAGGTTAGTGAACAGACTGCTGTTTATGGACAAGGTGCTAGTGCGTGGGGAAAGTTGTTGGAGGATTGGCGCGCTGATGGTAAGATGGAGGGACTTGATAAGATGTGTTGAGTGATGAGTTTCTTTCTCTGATCTTTTAGTTGAAAAAGTTCTTCCGTTATAAAAAGTGGCTTATCATGGTTGTTGGCAACGGGATGAAAAGTTTCTTTAGATGGTTGTTGGCAACGGGATGAAAAGTTTCTTTAGATGGTGGAGCTGGTAATGATGGATGGTATGGTTTTACCATGGAGTATACCTATTTTAGTTCAATAAGTTCATTTTCACCATTGTGAAACAGATAGTCTAGTTATTTGGTCCGCCATTCATGCTATGGTCTATTATGTAACGGATGGCTTCTGATAATACAGAATATATTTTCTCATACGTTTTCATTGCCACTTGATTTGATGATTTGATCCAACGTATCTCGTCCTGAACAACTTCTTTTTGGTATTACAAGTGAGCATTTATATCCGCATAATGCTATCATTTACATGCCATCCCACACTCCCCAATCCAACTTCAATCCATAAAAGAGATGGTTTGCCATTTAAGCTCAAGTATACTCGAATCACATCTTCGATATCCCTCATAAAGCTCAATATCCCCCCCCCCCCCCCCTTCTCCCAACAACATGCTTCTTTTCACCTCTACACAAATCGCAGTGCTGAGACGAGAAACTTACCGATTCCAATCAATCAGAGCTAACTAAAAGCTAAGAGCTGCTAATCTACACGGTGTTTTCGGATTTCAAGCATTCAGTATCCTACTCACTCGTTCTATATGCGTAGTAAATTGTGTGCATACGAACTACAATTTGTATTCTTCGACAATAGAAAGACCATCAATTCCAGTTTATTCAGAGCTATTCTTCAATATTTTCTCTCGACTCTCTTAACAGTTTACTATTGTGTAATCAATTATAAGCAGTCTTAAACATCCATCCCATTTGGCCATCCTACTCCATCAGAGTATTTAACCTACCTATCCTGTCTACTCTACAACCATTCATACAGCAGAACAAACACCTAGAAATCCCCATCACATATCTAAAACTCCAAAACATAGCTCACTCCAAAACTTTCTCATCTCCTAGAGCCCTAAATCACAGATCTCGATGTATATCTCTATATCGAATCGTCCTAAACTCCACACACACCATTGACGATTCAAGAAAATCCTCAAATATACATAGGTATTAGGAAAGGTGTCTGTATCTGTAAGCAATGTCGAATACTTGATTTACAATCGAGTCCAGTTATATTGCATCATTTATGCTTAAGTTGGAGGTAGGTACACTTAAGGTATACGAGTTAGAGATACTTGGTAGTATTTTGTAGCGTCTTTCGGATATCCACCAATGATTCGGGTGAGTATCCGAGTATATCCGTTGGATGCTCAATCCCGTAGGTATATATCTATTTGAATCCTTTCTATATAACAATTTGATTCTATTTACTTTCATTTTCTCGCTATACTTGTAACATAAATCCATTTCTTCATCTATCTATTCATCTATCTATCTATCCATCTATTTAATCATCTATTTATTCATCCATTTCAAACTCATGATGTTTCCCCCCTCTCCCAGCTCTAAACGACGGCCGCGAACCTTCCTCGCCCTCCTATAACGTAATCCCGCTATGTCAAAAGAAGAATTTTCAAAACACTGGCTGACAGAACACGCACAAGTTGTTTTTGCCTTATTTTCTGGATACGGACGTGGAGAGCTATATGTAGGTATGGAAGTTTTTGTACTATTTTCTCGCTACCACCTCTGTAAATGCTTCATACTCGGAACTCACATCTGGCATCCCCATCCACTTGTGAAAGTGTAATTTTATGAAATCCAAGAGCTGGATCTGTAAATCTCCAGATTAAGAGCTACAGCTCACATAGAACCTTCTATCCTTCCTATCCCCATGTATTTTAATCAAGATCCTTCTACCCACAGATTCACGGCCCTCTGTCAATGGCATCCTCCGCGTCTCCAGATTCCGATCCCAGCAATCCCATCTCTGCGTTACAAAAAGAAATCGAAGCTGAAGAATGGGATGGATGCTTTGAATTGATCGGTCCTCCTGGTATGTCTTTTCTCAATTCTCACTTTGCTATATCAACATGCTTCTTTCATATTTCTCGACTTCCTCATCTCTCTGTTAAAATTTGGAGGATGATCTATTCAATATCATCTCATTCCCATCCCATCTAACCTTGTTTATATCCCAAGACGCAGAATAAACTAACGATTCTAAACTTAGACACATCCAAAACTACACCAGAACCAACTTAGAAAGCAGCATCTTATCACGATATAATCACAGCCGACGAACTAAGATATCTGGTTTCTAAAGCTTCGGAACATGTTAAGATTGTAGAAAAAACTGGTGGGTTTTCTCTTTCTCTGCATGTTTGATTCTTTTTTTTCCTTTTCCTTTGTCCATTTGTTTGTTTATCTCATTGAACTTTCAATGATGGGATGATGTTGTGGAATTCGATTTTCCAACATTGTTATCGTTGTTGATAATTTTTCCAATATTTAGGCATCATAACGGGTGAGAGGAAAGCAATAATTCAAAACGGGAAGAGTAAGTTAGAAATTAATAAAGATGTGATGAATGTATGAGAAGAGTACAAGAGAAAGTGGGAAAAAGGAGAGCTACGAAATACGGATAGACAATCTAGAAGAACAGAGTCAAAGGAGAATAGATGGCATGATTTGAGGGGGTCAAGATGAGATTTGAATGAATGAATGAAAAGGACGAAGGAAGAGAGGAAGACAAAAAATCCGGTTTGCAATCAGTCTAGAAGAGCTGAAGTAGAGAGATATTCAGTAACTTAGCAATAGACTATAGAATGGTGCATCGGTCTTTTGGTTTCAATGGTGAAAATGGCGAGAGGAAAAGAGCAAGACGTAAAAGACAAGAGAGTATATCAAGAAAAGGGGAAGTAGGAAGTGATAATTCGGGGTGCCATATTTAAAATCGAAATCACTACAATATTCGACCCCGCCCATGATTTTTCTTCTTGTACAAACTCACGAAGAACCATAGCAACAGAATAATTTTGGAAATCCAATGAATTTGTACGCCACGAGAAACTCACTCGCGCCAACTTGTAAGATTTTCGGTGCTAGCCCGGTAAGAAAGGCGTTGTAACTCAGTACAAGTTCAATGAGGCACTTGCCTTAACCTCTATCCTTTACATACTCATAGCCTGCACATGACCGGGCGAGTTCAGAGCTACATCGTACAGAGTACTATATCTAACGCAAGATTAAAATTAATCTATTTCTCTATCGATTGCTCCAAATTACGCCTTAGAACATCAATAATCCAGTCCTTCCCAAACACGCCCTCGGATATCTTGTATGAAAATGTCAAAGGAAAACAATGCATCTGTTTATCCCATTCCAACCACTCTCCTCTAACTCCCTCTATCTCTAATTTCTTTCTTAACTCCACGGAGTCAGGAGCCAAACAATCATATAAACCTACCACTCCATCTACTTGTACATCTGCCTTTTTAAACACGCTTAGATCGGCCAAAAGAGGCGAAACTGTTGGATCTTCCGCCGGGATATCCTGACGCCATCTTTCTGCTACCTCGGTAATGATAGCTCGCGAAAGAATGGGATCGTGAGAATCTATTGCGTCGATTCCGGGATTTGTATTTCGCATGTCGGTGGGTGGTGACATGACCATTATATTTCTTAATGGACAGACCTTCCCCGCTCCTTCCAATCCCCGATCTCGTAACCAACAAGTCGCCCCATACAGTCCCAAGACCAACGCAATATTCCCCCCAGCCGAATCTCCCATTAATGTAATTCTATATCCCTCTCTCGTTGCTTGTTCGGCCAACGCATTATATAACTTCCTCAAATGTGGCAACGAATGAGCAGCTGGGGAATTGGGCGCCAAAGGATAGCTAACAATGTTAATTTCGTATGCGGGAAGTTTCTTGCATAATTCCGCGCAGAGAGTCCAATGTTCTTTCAAAGCGCCACTTCTGAACCCCCCACCTGCGAAATAATATAATTTATCGAGAACCACTGGGGGCTTTTGCTCCGTGGTTGGAGAAGGTGGCGGGGTAGAGAGGGATGAGAAGGCATAGATATACGTATCTGCAATATGATGTTCGGTGACTCGACAATGCTTCTTGACGGAATGGTGAGGAGTTAACTGAGGAGATCCGGATGGGAGAGGAGGATGTGTTTTGAGGATTGTTTCGGAGAAGGTTTTGATAGCTTTCTGTGCCATAACACTCAAAGTCGATCGATCATGTCGTTGAGTAAGTTTGATTGAACTTGTAGAAGTTGAATGAGATGGTTCGAGATTCGTCATGATTGAGATAGTATTTATCGGTATTTGCGAATGTTGCTGATTGTCAAAGATGTCATAAGAGATCGTGTTCTATTCGCATATTCGTAGAGTCGTAGAAGATTTGGATTTTTGTAGACAGCATTCGACAAGACGTTATTGTTGTTGTTGTTGTTTTATTAGCAAATAGATGCGAATATATATATATATATATAAGGAGAAAAGAAGAGAAAAGAAAGGGTCCTGTCAGAAGGGTCTTCTTGTCAAGCTTGTCAAGCCCCTCATCTCATAGATAATCTTAGCATCCACAAAATATCCATGAGATCAGAGATCATCAATTCCTTCGCCATTCTTGGAATCCTTTGAGTTCCTTGGAATTGTTAGCTCTTCCCTGATCAATATCCCCTCACTGAGCATTTCTCTTTCGAGTCTTTTCATTCAATATAACTTCGAGGATCAGAATCATCAATCATATTGCAGTCAAGAGATCAATCAACAGAATGAAGATATGTTTATATCTGGGGATATTAACGTGAAGGGATGTTGTCGTTGGGGGAAGTGAACTCTGGTGGAAATGTCGTAAAAAATCTGGGGTTGACGGTTGAACCTCAGACCCTTGATATTCATCGTCATAATCACCTAGGGTGGTCAGCTAGAGTGGTGAAACGGTGGAGATTTTGAATGCACTCACAGACTCACAAGTTCACAGATTCACAAATTCACCCGACTCATGAAACGAGCTCTTATACGTATTTCCTGACATCCATGATTCATTTGATTTATTCAGCAGCAATTTGTCTACCAATGATAATAAGTCGGTCAAGTCGGACTGAAGTGAATGCCAGTATATATCATCTCAGAGTGGAGATGACCCCAGGAGATACTGTTACAGAAATACTGTAACGAAACTTAATAATTATTGTATAAAAAGTTCTAACTCACAACTTCTCCTGACATGAAGATGAGGTAGAAGTTTTTACAATAAATATTATCAGCAACGTCTATTGCAAGGCGAGAATGATGTTTACCCCTGTACTATGTTTCTTCTTCAGCTATGCTTTTACCTACGTTATTGCGGCTTCGCCCGATTGGAGTGAACAACAGCCAATTGTATATGGAGGTTCTCTCAAGGACGACAGCTGTCATGAAACGGTAATACAATTAATTCCTACATCTTCCAAATCTATAACATCCCCCCTAACTAACACGGAACTCGGTAGTGTATAGCTCTCCAACAAAGCCTTGAGGAAACTTACTATGGATCCATTCCCTCGGATTTTACTCCCACCTACTACTCCTTCCAACAAGCATCAGTTACGCCAGCTTGTATAATACGTCCTCATTCCCCTTCTGAGGTATCATCCGCCATGAAAATCATCCAAGAATCTGACTGTCATTTTGCTATCAAAAGTGGAGGACATAATATGAATCAAGGGTTTTCCAATGTGGAGGGCGGTATTACTATTGACTTGGTGAGAATGAAGGGTATTGAAATCTCAGGGGATGAGGAAATTGTAAAGGTAGGAGCGGGTTGTAGATGGGGGGAAGTTTATGAGGTCGCGGAACCGAGGGGATTGATGGTCGTGGGGGGAAGGGATTCGACGGTGGGAGTGGGAGGATTCCTTTTGGGTGGTAAGTGAAGTGGAGGTAAATTCAATGTCAAATATGAGATGCTAAGTTTTTCAAAAGGGGGAATATCGCTTCTGTCCCAAAGATATGGATGGGGTTCTGATAATGTTCGAAATTTTGAGGTTTGATTGTTTCACCACATTATGATATATACCAGCTAATATCTGCTTAGGTTGTCCTTTCCAATGGAACAATAGCAAATGCAAATGCTCATGATAACCCAGATTTGTACTGGGCCTTACGAGGTGGAGGAAATAATTTTGGTATCGTTACGAGATTTGATCTACAGACTTATCCGCAGGGTCCTGCATGGGGAGGCCAGAATTGTGAGTACAAACGTGCTTATTGATATTGCGAATTTGATATCAATCTTATCTCTCTCTTATCCTTTTTGTCTTAGAGTTAATGATATCCCTCAGTACCTCTCTACTTCCTAGAATCTCGCAATTTTACTAACACCAAATAGACTACATCTTCTCCGACATCTCAGCCCAACGCAGTACATTCTCGATTCCTCCCCGCCCCTTCCTTCCTCTCTCCCTACGCTCCCTTACCATTCCCCTCACCAGCCTTTTCCTCAAAACTGCCTGCCTCCTCTCCTATTGCACATCCACCACAACCTTCCTAAACGCCATCCAAGACCTTATCACGAACCAAACCTCCGACACCTCAAGCCAGTTCTACGGTTCCATCGGTTACCTCGCCCAATACGATTTATTCGCCGGAGTTACTTGTCTAACGAATTCAAACGGTGTGGCTAATCCGTCGGCATTCGAAAGGATAAGGAAATTGGGGGCTTATAGTACGAATCGGATTGCTAGTATGGGAGAATTGACGAAGGAGTTGACGAGTATGGATGTTTGGGGTGACCGGTGAGTTAAGTTTCCCTTCGATTTTGATGATTCTTGAAATAAGGAAATAGGCGGTCGTACCCCAAAGCTTATGTTCATTCTAACCTACTCTCAACACTAGAATTCTCTGGGAGACCATGACTCTCTACCCTCATCCAGAGCTCTCCCAGAAAGCCCTGAACCTCTTCCTTGAGCAAATAGAAGAGATAAAACATGTCCCTGGCTTTCTCCCGAGTTTTGTGTTGCAACCACTGGTTCCTTCTGTCCATTCGAATGGGAGTCAGAGTCCAAATGGATTATCTGGAAATGATGGGACACTTATTGGTTCGCTTCTTTCTTTTTCCTCTCCTTCACATTAGGAAACTGACTAGCATTATTTCCTTTTCATCCACTTGCACATCTAACTAACCTACCCACACAGTCTTCAACATAAACATATGGTGGTCCTCCCAAGCCTCCGACTCCTACACCCCCCTAGTACAAAAATCCACACACAACCTCATCACCAAACTCACTCTGTTCGCTAAGGAACTGGGTATATTGCATAAATACATCTATCCCAACTACGCAGATGCAAGTCAGGATGTTTTTGCAGGATATGGAGAGGAAAATTTGTCACGTTTGAGAAAAGTACAGGAGGCGTATGATCCGGATGGTACTTGGAGAAGATTGCAGAGTGGTGGATTTAAGATTTGAAAGTTGGGATTTGAGACTTGGTTAAGATAATTTGAAATTTCAGGGGATTAGAGAAGCATAGATGGTGCATAGATAAATGGCTACGGAAACTGGATGTAGAATTGTGAATGCGAGTTTTGAAGATTTTCATACTCATGTTCAAAATGACGCTCTGCTGGCCCTCTGAGAACCATTGCCATGGAGGCAGACCAATATTGGATAAATAACCTCCCCGAGCGAAGCGAGCAATGGGGGTTTGGGGGCTCGTCCCCAAGAGATAAACATATAGTGAAAGCAATAACACAATTCCTGGTTCAAAAGATTATGCACAAGTAAAACAGAATAGGTATCCGCAACCCCTTCCACTATACCTAAACTACCACTTGTAATCTGTACCACTCTCATGCTCCATCATATCAAAAGCAGGTTTCGCACTAAAATAACCCGCCATCTCTGTCCCCACCGCCTTATAAGTATACGCCGCGTCTTCCTCTTGAATTTTAATCGTTTCTCCTCCCCTTCCCCCTGCTGCCGCATCAGCTAGTAATTGCGCATGACAACACTTTTCCAAACTCATGAACCAGAAGACTGCGCTTTCGATTGTTTCTCCACAAGTGAGTAACCCGTGGTTTTGAAGTAATGCGGCTTTTTTATTGCCGAGAGCGGAAGCGATAGCTTGCCCTTCTTCCGATGCGAGGACAACGCCGCGGAAAGACGAGTAGAGTGCGAGATCGTTGTGGAAAGAGCAGGCATCTTGGGTGATGGTGTCGAGGGGACGGCCGAGGGAACAGAAGGCGCGGCCGTAGATGGAGTGGGAGTGGGCTACTGTGTTGATTTCGGGGCGTGCGGTGTGTACGGCGTGGTGGATCATGTAAGCTTGGAAATGGGATGTTAGTGGGAGTTCTTGAGGGATGACGGAAGAAGGCAGATTTACCGGCTGTGTTCAATAATCGACATGGACCGCCATCAACTACTTCCCCGTCTTTGTTGACGAGAATTAAATCGGATGCTCGAAGAAGTGGCCATGCTACTCCAAATGGGTTGACCCAGAAACTAGTTGGTTCAACGGGATCCTACTTCTGTTAGTATACCGCACTCAATTTTTCTATCAATTCATATCCAAAAATTCTATCCAAAAGTTTCAACAACTTGTCAATCCCCCTCGCCCGCTGACATCAACATCCATCCATCTTCCCCCGTCCTCCCCCCCCAAACCCAACAGAGAAGAAAATCTCACTCACCCTCAAAGTAATATGTCCCGCCACTCCCTCATCATACCCCAACTTGGCAAAAACCCTGAAAGCCAACGCCAATCTCCCCTTTTGATATTCCCTCTCTGCATATTTATCTTCAAATGGTGTTCGTAGTGGCAAATTCATAACTTGGGCACGGGCTTGAGCTTGCTCTTTGGAGAGGCCAGGCTCGTGGGTTAGGGTTGAGGGGGTAGAATCAGAGGTTGTGGGGATGGCGGCACCGGTATTGAGGGGCTCGGATGGGGTTGTTGCTGAAGGGGGAGCCATTTTGATATTGGGTTTGTGATTTGTATTGCTGGATATTAAATGAAGAGTAAAGAATGAGAAGTGAGATCAGAGAATGTTATGTTATGAGTTGAAGTGATAGACAGCAAAAGTGGCAATTGGAATCGAGGGAAGCTGGAGTCAGGAGATTCTCCATAAATAGATGTTGAGAGGCTCGAGAGAGGCTTACAATCATACAGAAGTGCCGGCTATGTCAAGTGACGCCAGCTGGTTGGCTGAGGTCTGACCTCTTTCAGTAGAATTCAGGAAGGAAATGAGGGGTATTTGTGGGGTGATAAGCTTTTTTTGACTGGGGTAGGTGCGGTAGATAGGAAGCGGAATCTTATCTTGTTACCGAGCCCGACTTGAACGATTGGAACAAAAGTATACTTTTATATAGAAAATGTTATTTAATTTAGTATATAATCTTAAGAGAATTAATAAATTAGCATAAAAATACATAGAATCATTTATTAGAATTTAAAAAATCCGTTCATATGATTCTCTTTCATATATCTCAAAAATTGAAATTTATATTCAATATAATAGTATTTTTATTTATTGAGATATATAATTGAACTTGTATATAAAACTTTTTATTCTTTAAATACTATAATAGTAGATATAAATTTCAATCAATATTTCTATTTTTTATTTTTTATTAATTAATTTCTTCAAGGTTTTATACAGAATAGAAGAATTTCTCTTAATATTCTAAATACTAGCTGAGGTTATATTAATTATAAAACCCTTATATATAGTAGAATTCCTATTAATAAAACTATATTAGTAATAAAGCTTTTATACTATAATAATATAATTAATGATTTGATATACGAAAATGAAAATATATTTTACTGATTTATATAATTAAGTATAACTCTATCTTAAATGTATATAATGAAAATTACAAAAATTTAATAATTACTATATTATTAATAAAGATTATAAAAATAATAAAAAATATGTATGATTTCCAATCATATAATAAAAAGTAAAAATAAATCAACTCTGTCTATAAGCTTTTAATTAATTTCTTTTTTTATTATAATAATATTTATTATATTATACTTTCTCAAAAAGTAAGAGGTTCGAGAGCTCGTAGGCTTTTAGTGTTCTTATTATATTTATCTTGTTTATTTTATAAAAGTCTATATATAATAAGGAAAACCATTTAAGAAAAACATATATAGAAACCTTTAATAGTAATATACTTCTTAAAAAAAGAGTTTAAAATCAATTTCGAAATAAACTCAATAAAGCTTATAATAAAACCTTTTTAATAATATAATTTATTTCATAATTTATTTCATAATAAGTTTATATTAGATTATACTTTGAATAATACATTTTCTTCTAAAATCTCTATATATACATTATATACATATTAGATTTTTTTTTTGTATTCGGTAGAAATCTGTTTTAAGGGTTTTTGTTCAAATCGTTTAAATCGGCCTCGGTACTTGTTAAGCTTCGTGGGCCGCTCGGTAGCGAATTACATTAGGGGGATTTACAGTCGATACTCGGGTAACTACTGTCCCTTTAGTAACATATTCTAGATAACGTAGCTCGTCTGATTCTTCAGTTTCTCTTAATAATAAATAGTATGTTTCATAGAATGGGTATGTCTAGTCAGATGAATAGTGTGCAATTTTCAAGACCTTGAGAGTCGTCGTGTTAAAGCTATTGAGTATCCTTTCGCTTACACTTGAGGCTGTACAGCCTCCGAGGTACCTGGTTGTACCCGGAAGATTTCTGCGATTACTAATCACCTGAGATTTATCTCACGTGAACGGGCGATTTCTTGTAACTTCTTGAGAGGTTACCGACGCGGTGAGCTTCTATATTGAGCCTAATTGAAGAAAATTTGAGAACTGTGAAGGTGTTCTCATTCTTTGACCTTTCTAAACGGCCGACGGGCGTACGCTTCTCTTCCTCTCCTATTTCTCTTTTCAAGTCTCTGTTAACACTGCAAATTAGGGATTGATACTGTTGCCATTCACCTCGAAGTCTTTACCCCATCACATTTCATCACAATTCACATCTTTTCTTTTATCTTTTCCGCTGTGAGTATACAATATCTCTTTCTGCCATGACGTCCTTGTATCAGCTTCCCAAGTCTTCTCTTGTCCCAAACAAACTTTCAGATCAAAATGCAAATCGACTACGACCTAGAAGGCATAGGTATATCGAAAGCCGAAGTTCCACACAATCAAGCGCCCTTTGAAGTACGGACTGGTCTCAACTGATGAAAACTTGGCTAATAATTCTATAGGCGAAGTTTGGAGTGACGTAACTATCTACCATCATTTACAAGATCTTTTCGAACCGCTTAAATTATTGGAGAGAAGGAAACAAGCAAGCAGGAGCCTAGTAGCCCGCCGAATGCCAACTTTCTGTCTACCAAAAGGTTTAGAGATTAAGACAACCATAATCCATCAAAGATTTTTGTGGTGAAACATCGACGGATACCGACAATATGCAGGTTTCCAATAAACAAAACTTGATTGATTTGTGTCTTCGAACCTTCTGTTCACCATTTCGAACTAAGAGTTCATCAATCATCGGAGAATTATCTGGATCATTAGATAATCCTTCAAAACTTCTTGCGCCTTGTGGTCAATCCATTGGAAAATTGCTCGCTCATCTGAGTACCTCCATCCGTACTCAAACAGGTAATCAGGAATTGACTCTCCAAAGGCTCGATGATATACTCGCTCTAGCTAGGGATAAATTCTATGCGTTCCCATTCAAAGATGTACCGGATTGTTGGAGAGCATTATTTCTTGAGGCAAGTTTGTTGAAATTTTCTGCTCTTGCCTGTAGAGAGGCATCGTCTCTGGATGAGAAGAAGGATGAAGAGTCAAATTCAAATATGGATGTCATGGATGATCGAGTAATAGACCAAATGGTTGAGACAATGGATATGGCATTGATCATGGTCGGAGCTCCAGCATCAGAAACAATGCGATTAGCAATTGATTATGCGATGGATCTTTTACAAGGAATTCATGAAGAAATGATAGATGGTGATAGATCAACACAGTCACCCAAGAAACGTCAGAAACTTTCATACAGTGATCCATCCTCAAGATCCACATCTTCATATCAAGATCGCTTTCCATCAATTTCGATCACATCACCTTCTCTGTTAAACCCCATTTCTCGAGTCACTTCCGACGAAATTAATATCAATAATGATGACGGAACCCTAGACAGATTCGCAAAACATATGCATCAACCCCAAGATCGCACATTAGGAGCCGAACCTCTCATAATAATTGGATCAATCGATTCATGGCCTGCACGTAACAAGAAACCATGGTCAAGTCCCTCGTACTTACTATCCAAAACCATTGGTGGCCGACGTCTAGTTCCCATAGAAGTAGGTAGAAGTTATGTTGACTCCGGATGGGGACAAAAAATCGTCACTTTCAAAGATTTCATGACCGAATACATGTTATCCCCAACCAACGAAGGAGAAGCAAAAGAAACAGGCTACCTAGCACAACACAATCTCTTTTTCCAAATCCCATCTCTACGAAATGATATCATGATACCGGATTATTGTTATGTCTATCCACCACAACCTCATTCATCATGTTCTCCCGCGCTGAAAGAAAAATACGCACAAATGACAGAATTGGAAGAGCCGCTCATAAACGCATGGTTTGGACCAGCCGGTACGATTAGTCCGCTGCATACAGATCCGTATCATAATATCCTAGCGCAAGTCGTCGGGAAGAAATATCTGCGTCTTTATCCACCTAGAGAAACACCAAAATTATACGCGAGAGGTATAGAAGATGGAGGAGTAGATATGAGTAACACTAGTGAGGTGGATATTGGAGTATTGGAGGGATGGGATGGTACTGTTGAAGAGCGAGAGGAAGAAAGGAAGAAATTCTCAGAGGCGGAGAGTGCGAAATATTGGGATTGTGTGTTAGAAGAAGGAGAAGTTTTGTATATTCCGGTTGGGTGGTGGCATTATGTAAGAGGTTTGAGTGCGAGTTTTAGTGTGAGCTTTTGGTGGAATTGATGTGGAGTCATCTGGATGTGGCTTGTTATAATAATGAGTCTGCAGATCTACTTCAAAGTAGCAGTGAAAGTTTCGGCGAGTTAATAAAAGTTTGCACTTGTAGAATAGAAAGCATTATGGTATGTTCATTCGATCACGAAGGGATTAATGGGTATCTTGACCCCGCTCCTCTCCCCTGAACAGAATGGATTTGAAATCATTATTAGTATTCATCTACTTACTTCACTCTTCACTTTTCAGCTCGCATGCCGCCTGACTATATGTCGTCCGATGATATTATATAACATAACGTGCCATCCTACCTCTCGAAGATGAAACCCCTAAGACGTCCCACCGAAATAAGATGTTGGGGGGAATATATCTGATATTCTCCCAGCCAATCCGTCCAGACCTCTTACCCCTGATTCGAAATGCCTCATCCTCTCCGAGTCCATAACCCCGTCTTCATGTTTCATCTCGAATCCATCCGCATCAACAAAAAACCTCCCCGCGTAAACCCAAAAACCCAAAAACATGTCAACACAACCAGCTGTGGTATAAGTTATACTCCATAACGCCCTATGTCCAATCCAAACCCGTGGATTAAATCACTAATCCACTCCGTATTCAGATTCAAATCAGGCCAAATCCTGACGTGCCGCCCAATTCTCATAATCTCGTGATGTTTGCTATGAGTGCTCAACAAATGGAAGGTTTTAAGCAAAGGTAAAGGTGGAAGCAAAAAGTAAAAAGAAGTAAAAAGAAATAGAGAAAAATGTCTTCAGGTATAGATCTCGAAAAGAAAGAAGGTCGAAAGAGAAAACATAGTAGTGGTACAGTAGATATGATGTGATATGAAGAGACACTGATCCTCCGTGACAAATATGTATATAAACGTGTAGGTAGGTGTGTGAACCCATGATTACCTCTTCAAAAGCCCTCCAACATCTTGCAAACTCAGGTTAGTCTGATGTCTTTCTAAATGATCGATAGGCGGGGGCATTGAATGTGCATGAGTAAGCGACGGATGACTAGTAGGCCCATTATTTCTCTCCTGCGAAATTGTTTCCAGCTCATATCCCATACTCGCTCTTTGGAGTCTCGTTCGGGGTCCCAATAAACCTCCTATATCTTGCAGAAGGGCCGCGGAACCGCGTCGTGGAGGAGCGGGACTTAATCCATTTTCGTAAGACCAAGTAGTAGATACTGGACCTTCGCCTGCGGTACTGGATTCGCCTGTGTGTTCCGAATCCATCGTTCTCGTCGAACTAATTCTTCTCGGAGATTCTTGATCGAGTAATCCTCCGACGTCAAAAAATGATACTCGGCGTGGTGACATCATTGATGTTAAATCTTCAGAAACATGTCTTGAAGGGGCCGGTTTAACGAAATCGATTTCATCGCTCATATCACTTGGAAAACGCCAATCATTCGAACTGTCTGATCCAAATCGATGACTTCTTACCGGCATGTTCCCAGCTACAGCCATTGGGGCGGGACGAGGAGGTGAATGAACTTCTCCTCTCAATTCGGGATCCACCCCTAGGCCTAGATCTCGGACGAGATCTTCATCGCTTCCCCATTGCCGAGCTACGGTTCCACGGCGAGAAGTAGTCCGATCGAGTGTGTCAGTTAAGGAACCAAATTTAAATTTGTGCTTCTTAACTCCTCGGTCTCGGACGAAAGATCCGAGGATAAGCGCATTGGCGACAGCTGTTGCGAAGAGAATCTCAACCGATGCTAGTAAGGATCGATATTGCTGGACACCATGTCTATCAATGATTTGTGGGATTCTGTAAAGTGTTATTCCTGCCGGAATCAACGAACCTGCAAATAATAACACCAATTGAATTTTCCTCTTAATCCTCATTTTGGAACCAATAATGATAGGAACGGGAAATAAAACGAGGAGAAGATCAGTTAATACATTGACAGTCCCCATAGTAAGGAGTTGTGCATAACCTTGACGACATTTTGCTCCTGGATCCGGCGTGACTTGCCAATAATGATTGATGGGCTGACATTCGGAGATATCTGCTATTATTACTGCGATAAATGTGACAAGGAGGAACCATCGGATGAAGATTAAAGTTCTTTCGTGTGACCTTGTCCAGATATTTATTGTGAGCCTTTTGAAGAATTCACTAATTGTAAGTTTAAGCATCCAGAGTCTAGGGATAGGTAGGTATGTAGGTTAGTAATTGAATCGATTCTAAATGGGTATAGAAGAAGAAAAGAGGGGAATGAAATATGCAAGCAAGCTGAATTTAAGTAAGAATAAACCTACGTCGCCGCATAAAAAACTCTTGATACCAAAACCAATCTACTCCCAATCGCTCTTCTCTCCAACGATCTTTCATCAAAATCCACAATCACCGCATTGTTGGTACCGAATAACAAAATAACATGCACAAGGCCCATGCGACAAAACAATGGGATCAGACAAGCAAAAGCTAACCAATCCTCTTTAAAAAGTTTCTCCGTCCTGATATATCGTCCGCAAACTCTGAACAATATAAGGACGGCCGAGAATAACGTGCACCACCAACAAACAAGAAGTGTGGGTTTATCGTCGTAGAAGCTTCGAGCGGGTGGTGGACTGGAATATATGGTCATAATGAATGATATATATTAGATTTCGGGATACCACCGGAGGAATTGAGTACCACGCCCGTCTTCCTCCGTGGAGGGGACGAGCGAGGGTCTATTTTGTTTCGCAGCGTTTGTGGTTTCGAGTGTTGAAGTCAATGGAAGATGTGGTTGGATGTTCGATTGCATATATTTCCATGGGAATGGGAAATTCTTAAATTCCGTCGCGAATCGTATCGATAATTGTTGCGCGTGGACCGTTGCATGACAATAACGCGAAGAAGTAGACTCGAAGTCGAGTGTTCTAGTTCGGAGGTTTTGGGAACTGTAGTACTGTGGGTTATGGTCGCAAGGTATTTTCTCTCTTTTTGTTCTTCTTTTTCTTCTTCTTCTTCTTCTTCTTCTTCTTCTTCTTCTTCTTCTTCTTCTTCTTCTTCTTCTTCTTCTTCTTTTTCTTCTTTTTCTTCTTATCCCTCGTTTCAATGATGTTCTGGAAACTTTGGAGCAATACAGTGTGCAATAATGGCGGAGATTTTTCGGGAGGTTTGGAGATTGATAGTTCAATTTGATGGATGATGGTTCGTATGTAAGTGGGATTAAGTTTGCAAGAATTCGAATTGGTTATTTCTAGTTAGAAGAATGTGTAAGGAGGAAGTGATGAGATTTTCGAAGATTGAAGTAGGCAAAAGATTAACAGAGATTATTTGCAGAAGTGGATGGAATTGGCGTTAATATGAGTGAGATGACTTGGGTGAGACGGTGAAGGATATGTCGATTAGTATGGGGTTCCGTGAATCCCCTTCCCATACTCGTACAGATAGAGATACGTATCGCACAGGGCTGGGTATTTTTATGATTGATAGATTCTTCGATGAATACTCCGTAGACGGGGGCCGGTTCGAATTTAGATGACTGGTGCTGGTATTGGATGGGAATTTCCCGCAGAGATGTAATCTCTTTTCAGTATAGATGTGTGCATATGTTTAAAGCCAAGAAAGTTTATTCTGAGTTTTCTTGATGATAGACGATTTGGATGGAACAAATAGTAGGAAGTCTCGAAATTTAGTCGTTATTTTTGAAGGGCTTGGTGTGATTTGGGATGATAATTGCTCAATGGGTCATGGCTCTTGTGTCTTGCTTGCAGCTTGCTTTTGCTAAACGTGGGGCCATGCGGAATTGAGGAATAGTTAAGGTACAAGTTAGAATCTGGAAGGGTTAGGATAAGTTATAGCAATTAATAGTATCAAGTAGGACATCTGACACAAATGTGTTGAGAATACTTGGAGAATTAGATGAACAGATTTCCGTGTCAGCAATCTTATCTTATTCAGACTCTTGAAACCGTTAGAACTACTTGGACTATCATTACCATTATGATCATAATCCTTTCAATTGGGATAGCTATCATTTAATTCGTCATCATCAAGTGGCGCGGTCAGAAAATATTCAACCCGCAGTTTGGGGAACTCGTCAGTGTGGGATGAGATGAAGGAGCTTTTGCCTGTAAAGTTGATCCACTCGGGTAAGGCACCAAAAAAGCTGTTAGGTCCAAGGTATTTCCCATCGTCCCGGGGATTTTATTATCATATCAGTTCAGAATGGGGGTACAAAATAGAATTACAGGGCGAAAAGATAAGAACTCTTTCAGCCACCGACCCACAGGATAGGATTAGAATTTAACGAGTTTATCAAGTTTATGGCCTCAAATTCAAGTGGTTGGTGGTTAGTTGTTGGTTTTCGCTTGATACTTGTATTGATATAGAGGGCATGTTGAAATGAGGGCACAGTCAAGTGGTGGTGACATTCTTGATAATGGAGTGATGAATGGATGAATTTGATAGCAATGTTTGACGCATAGCACCGAGCCTGAAGGAGTATATTGAATCATTTCATATTTATCTCACTGTAAAGCGCCTCGCTAGACAGTAAAACTTTCCAACTCGCATTGATAGGAATACAAACTTTGGACTTTTACTACGCAGCCAAGTACTGACTATTGATGAAGCCTCTGAAGAGAAACACGGCACGTTATCGTGTTTCCACGACTATGTATGTCCCAAATATATCGATGTACGTATCATTCTCGTTCCCGAGGTCATCTAGCATGACTGCTATGATGATCTACACGATCCTCTAGGATGGATTCAATGAAATGTCAGTGAAATTTGACGTCTCTAATTGCCGTGACTCTTGAGGACCTTAGACTATTGGATCTAATCCTACGTAGAGTTCTACATTGAGGCTTGAACCAAGAGGTATTTGTTATACGAAACATCATTTATAATTTATATCATAGGTGATGCCTAGAGCTGAGTCTCATTGTCGTTGCACAAAATCTGGAAGTCCTTTCACATCGAAATGGTAAATTTTGAAATTATATACAACATGAGACACTGCACTCGACTCGGGTTCGTAAAGGTAAGATTGACATC